TCCCTTGCAAAGATTAAGTCACAGTAGCCAGGGTGTAGGTGAGGTGCCCTGGGAGCTGGGTGCATGCACGTGTGTGTGTGTGCTACTGTGACATCCTACTGGGTGCACGTGTACACGTGCATGAACGTGGGCTCACGGGTGTATGGGCGATGATCTGTACCAGCAGCTGCAGTGGGGCTACAGCACTGGAGACTCATGTGACCAGGTGAGACTCATGTGACCAGGGACGCTAGGATTTGGAGGATTTGGTATTTGAGCCCAGCTGCTAGAGGGATCCACCCTGTACCTATACAAATGTATATATATATATGTGTGTATATGTGTATATATGTGTGTATATATATATTACTGCACCCCTAGCCTGATTAGCCAGAGAGGTGAGGACCACGAGGCCGTCGGGGCTGTTTGTGTTGGTGTGGCACTGAGTGCCTCTGTCTGTGCTGCTGATGTGTGTGGCTTGCAATGAGTATGTGTTTGTGTGTTTTGTACATATATCCATGTCTGCAGGTGCCTGGGGAAACATGCTCAGCCTCGCTACTGATTGGACCTGGGGCATGGAGCTGTGCAGCCTCACCTCTACAAGGCTGGATCCTCTACTGGATTTGGCTGCCCTCACATTGTTCTCCCAGCAGCCCGATCCAGGGCCATGGAGCTCCCGTGTCAGAGCTGCCCTGAGCCAGGGCCACACAGACCCAGGGGAGAGAGAGCCCACGGGGCCTCCAGGCAATGCATGTTCCTTCACCATTTCTCACCTATATGCCACTCCTTTGAATCTTTCTGGACCCAATTAAATGCAGAGTTTTGGTATGTCCCTTGTGAGTCAGACAGACCCATCCCAGAATGAACTTAGCATTGAGGTTTTCCTTCTGCTGCATAAATACCTGGCTGTTCTCTACATCTGCACTGGTTTCTGGTCCAGCTTCCATCCTATCTGCTTCTTCCAAATATATCTCAGATTCTTCTAGGAACTGAGTTCAGGGAAAAACAGCCTTGCCCTGTAAAGAGGTGCAAGGAACTCTGCTTGCTTTTGCACTAATTCTCTTAAATGTACTTATCTCAATAGTCCTCTTGAAAACAATATTTCTCATCTTTTCAGAGACTGGATATTAGAGGACTGACTCCAAATGAGATTTATATTCTAAACACAACATACAGGTAGGAAAGGGCATGAATTGAAATTTTAAATCTACAGGGGAAAAAGTGGATGAGCTTGGGAAGTGTATGCCTTCATGTAAAAGCAGACATGAATGTATTAAAAATGTTAATTTGAACATATTTAGGAATATCAAGATTTTTAGAAAGGGTGTTATACAAGTAATATTATGAAAGTGGTACCTGGATGGAAGGAAAATTCTAATTTAATTTTCACTTTTATGAATTCTGGAAGTATATTTATTATTTTTTCCCCATTCAGCCCTAAACATGTTCCTGAAATCTCACATAACATCATTAATGCTTAAATTTTGCAGATATTGTTTTTTCCTGTTGTTCTTATTTTTGCCTTGGTTTTGCATAAGGAAAGAAATACCAAAAGGGGGTTGTTTTACATAATCACCCCCTGCTCATGTCTTTCCTATTTTTCTATGACCATTCAGCCTAAAAGATAGAACATATGATTACTCAGTGAAAGCCCTGCAGCCATGTACTCCATCTGTTTGTAGCCTTCTAAGTATTATTTGTATAAAGATAATAAAAAAGTCTTGCTCCTTTATAAGGATGACTGCAAGTAGTTTGATGTTGGAAAAGAATAACAAAGATTTTCTTTCTCCAGCTCTTGAAAATGACTCAGTATGAGATCTTGATCTCTATATTGTAAATTTGATATCCTGTGGATCTCCTCCTTATCTATTGAGCTGCTTGTTGTATTACATCTTTCAAGACTAACACATGATTGATTAAGAAGCTTCATTTTCTGCTTGCTTTTCTATATGATTATTCTGTGCTTAAATGTTTCAAGCTCATTATCAGCCAGACTCATTGCTGTAGGAGAGTTCACTTAAACTGCTTCTGTATTTTAGGTACTAACTGCTGGAATTAAAAAAAAAACCTCTTAATATGAACCACTAATCATTGTGTACTGACACAGAGGGTTGTTTAGGATGTCTCTCAAATATGTTTCATTCTTCTAATGACAAAAAAGTTACCAACACACAAAATGGAGTTGGCATCTACTTCATTCCATAACTGTACAATATTACAAACACCTGTAATATTCTTACATGTGTTTGGGCATGGTTTTTTCTGAAACTGCTCACTCACCTGTCTGCTGTGGCCATGAGATGTTGGAGCAGTAACCTTGGGTTTTCCTTACTCTCTGGTCAAGGTTTGAAGATTTTGGATGACTGCCTCAAAGTCTTTTTTTGCTCTAGTCTCTTTTTGGTGGGGAAACCTGTTCTTCAATCTCTGCTACATCTCAATTTAAATAGAATTTTACTATTTGCCTGCAGAATTGCTCTCAGCCATATTGCTCAACCTGATTTGCTGCCACAAACCACAAATGCTTCTTCTCCAATGTTTCTACTACTTGTCATTTTCACTTTGCCTCCAGAAATGCTTTAGACTGATCTGGATTTTCATGTGAAAGTGCTTACTTCTGACAATATCTGGTCCTTTCTGACCAAGAGAACACAGTAACAGCATTTTCAAGTCAGAAAGCACTTGGAGTGCTCTCCTGATGGACTGCAGAGTGGCTTTTTGCAGGCAGGGGCAACGAAGGGTGGAAATCAGCTTCTCCAAATGGAGTTGTCCCTGCTCTACACAGCCCTGCTGGAGATTGAAGGCCAGGCCAGCTTCCTCAAATGCTTTAGCAGGGAATATGGTGTAAACATCTAGACATTTAGTTGAGATCCCTTTTATCACATGGAGACTTGGCACATTAGTCAAGGCATTTTCTTCGTCCTCTTCATGCAGAAAAGGCAGAACTTTGTTGGCTGCTGCATGGCCATATGAAGGTTAATTGCAAGAGATTTCCCCTCTTGATTTCTATATCCTGTGTTTTATTAATTGGAGAAGTGAGAAATGCCTCTTAAATAAAATTGAGGATTACTAGGAAAAAAGTGCAGCTATGAGGCTGCAAACAGCTGCTCCCACAATGGCAACTACTGTTGAACTGTCATGTGTCTCACAGCACCTGGAGCCAGCACCAGTCACACACATATCCCTTACCGTGGAACGTAGGAAACACAAGGTTGGCAAGTGTGTGTTCAACTTCAAACCTCAGTGCCCAGCAGAGATTTGTATCAAAAGCATCATTTGAGTGTCTGAACCCAAGGCAAGAGACAGATAAAAGAAAGGCATGCTGCTTCTGTAATGAAAGACTGGAACAGCATGGGTTTAGGCACCTTTGGAGTTTACCTGCAGAGTCATGAAGAGGCTCCCAGGAGAAAACATCCAGAGGCAGGATTCACTGAGCCAGTTCCACAGGAATACAGATACAGGGTGAACAGAAAGGACAGCCTCTCCAACTAAAAATTTTAGATGCTCCATCCTCCCAGAGGCAGAGTGCAGTGACCAGGCACAGCAAGGGGGCAGAGAAGCAGGACAGCAAAATTCTCAGACATCTTCAGAGAGAGTCAAAACTTTACCACCACATCCCTGGGCATCTTTTAAAATCTAGGTTCAACCAGGACACACTCTGCCAGTCGCAGAAACGCTAAGCTCACACGGGACACTCTTCCTACCCTAAAACACTCTACGTGAATCTTGCAACAGACTTTACATATTTATATTTTCTGGCACTGAGCAACGTTTGCCCTACATTTCTTCTCTTTCACTGCGAACAAAGGCGTGCCCTCACTCTCCCTGTCCCCCTGTGTGAACGGTTTTCTGAAGCAGATGCTGCTGCTCCAGTAGCACGAGGCCTTTAACTACCAGGTACCTCAGCAGGGCTGGAGTCAGCCTCTTCTCCTCTGCCCCAGGTCACTCAGGGCAGCTTCCACACTGACAGTCTTCCCAAGAGCAAGCATGGCTGTCTAACTGCTTGCTTGCGCAGAAAGTTCAGAGCCTCAGCATAAACTTAGAAGGGTATTTTCCTGATGAATTACCTTCTCAGCAAAATCCTCACACCACAGCAGGGAGCTGGGAGTATTTGCTGCCCGTTGCTGAAGATGAAGGTATGTATACTCCAGCAACACCAGGAACAAAGCCCAACTCCTGAACCACCCCGCTCTCTCCAAGTCCCCTAACTTTGTAAAACTGACAGAAAACTCAACTCTCTGGAAATGCTGGAATACTCATTTGAAATCTCATTTTCCATTTTTCACACATGTAAGAAGCCCAGTGAGAAAGAATTTGGGGTAAACAAAATTCCGTCTAGGACATCAAAAAGTGACAAATGAGAATTGGTGAAGCATTGTTTAACACTTTTATGAGGGTACTTTCTAGAACCATAGTATATTAGTTCTCTTTTTACAGGTATGCAACTTCAAGGCAATTCTTTTGGACTTCTTCAAATTACTAAAATTGTTTATTTTCCACTGCTTCAATTTGTATCTTACAGACTTCCTCCTGCTGCCTATGACCAGTAGAAGCAGAAAGGGTCACACACTTCCTGTACTATCCAGTTAAGTAAATCCTTATTACTTGAATAACTCTCTGAAGAATAGTAGGCAGATAAATCATGTAAGATTTTTCCAGTCTTTTAACAACCCTCATCTGGAATACATACACACAGCTTTAAAAGAACATTGATTACACTATCCACCAGGTGCTAAAGTAAGTTTTGTTTGCTTTTAAAGGAGCAAGAAAAATATTTGTGGAAAAAAACTAAACATTTTTTCTGACATTACATGAAAATAGTAATAATTATGCCTAACAGAACTGACTACGATGAAAGTAAAGCTGCCTGTTAAAAAACTGACAACCAATTGAAGCTTGTAATTTCAACCTTCATCAACTGCTTTCTTGAGTGACTCATCAAATCAGTGTTACCTAAAAAGTCAATACTGAGAAAGAGGGTAAACCAATAAAAACTCCTTTCAGTCACACAATTGCTACCACTCTTGAGAACACAGTCAAGCGTTTTATTGTTTATACTCATTTTCATTTACACATAAGAGGAACAATCAATGCAGTTCTATCACAGCAGGTGGACCATATCCTGAAACTCTGCTGAATACGCACAGACCTGTCTTAAGGTCCAATCGGGAGAAAAAAGAAAAAAAAAACAAAACAAAAGAAGAAAAACTAAAAAAAAACATTGGGGGTAAGTAGGGAGGCAAGAAATTTCACTAACATCAGTAAATTCATGATTCATGGGTATTTATTTTGCAGGTGAAATAGCTCTTCTGAAAGAGCAAACTGCTTCACTTCTTTACAAAATACACTAAATAATGTTAAGTACTTAGAGAATTCTAAATTTTGCAGTGGTTCATGCGGTAAGGGTGTGCAACCGACACAAAATGGAAAACATGGTTACAGCATCAAACTGCTACTCCTATTCCCAGCTGGTTTATGGAAAAGGTCACTGGACTTCTTGATTTCTGCTCTTATGGAGTAAAATCAAGAAGTATTTCCTTTTTAAAGGCAACTATGAGGACAGACTACAGATATGCAGTGCAGTTGAACAGGTCTACAACTCTTGTTTCTAGAGCATTTTCATTTACTATTGTTTTGAAATACAAATATAAAACTTTTGCACACTGTCACTTCTCACACATGTTCAGCTGAAGGAGTCATTTACAGAATTTACTGTGATGCTCCTATTTTAAACGTGAGTTTGTCTCCTCTTGGCCTCATGGGTGAAGGGAGCAACTCTTTCCACTGAAAGAAAGAAATTACAGGTGTGCAGAAGTACAACTATGCTACCAACACAGACAGAGACAACTGTGCTCTTGTGCACACCCCTACAACCGGTCGGAGAACAAATTAAGAAGTTAAGCCTGCAAAATAAATGGAGTTTACTCTCAAACTTTTTTTTCTTCATTCCAGATGAATTATAGACCTTGATTCGAGGCTGCCCTCTTTTTTTTTTTTTTGCAACTGATCTGCGTGCCTATTGGAACAGCATCTCTGCCAGAGTCATTACACTGAAACGCAGAGCTGAGCAGTTTGGTGGCAGAATGTATTGACGTTTTTGCAGCATCATGAGTCTGGCAACTGGGCTTGGGGAAGTTTCAAGCAGTGGGTCTTTACAATAGCAACTTGATTCTGCAGACAAAAAGCAAAAGATTGGCAGAATTATTAAAGTATCACAATAAAGGCATGTATGCATTCTGCAGAACGTGGCGCTGAGTTTAGTGAGGAGCTGGCAGCCACTGCCGTCAAGAGGCGCGGAAAGGCAAAGCCCTTCCGCGTATGATGAGACACACGGAGGTGTCCAGGCTCCCACGGAGGCTGAGGGACAGCTTTCCCCTCGGGACGCCTGCTCGCAGCCGGCTCCGCTCCCGCAGGAGCAGCCGGAGCCGTGAGGAGGGCAGAAAGAAGCAGGGCTGGACTTTGTCAGCAGCCTTCAACTGGGGCCTATCCTAGCTCCCTTCCTCGCCAAAAAGCCCCGAAAACAAAGCCAAAAAACACCAACAAAACCCATCATGCCGCTGTTTGCGGGGCCGCACGGCCTCCCTTCCAAGGGGGCTGCACGCCCAGCGGCGCCCGCAGCTGCCGGCGGGGCCGGGGGGCGGCACCGGGGCGGGGACCGGCCCGGCCCGGCGCTCTCCGGGGAGCTCGGCTGCGGGCTCGGAAAGCGAGCGCCGTTTAGCACTAATTGGCCGAAACACGGGCATTAGCATACGAAATGGCGGCAGATTGGTTTAATAGGTGGAATAAAAAGCAGATTGCCGTGAGTCACTCCCTGCGATCTGGGCGGGGGGGGGCACACACGACGCGCGCACACACAGCTTGTGAAATGTCAGGAGCGCGCAGCATCCGCCGCTCGCGAAGGGTCTGAACACCGGCTCTTTGTGGGGTCGCACCCCCCTCCCGCCCCATTTCCAACCCCCGGCTCCCGTCGCGCCCCCACTCTCCGCGCAGGGCGGGGTGCGCGGACCTACCTGTGGCGCCGGGCGCGGGCGTGCATGGGGGCTGCCCCGGGGAGCACATCGCATTCAACATTTCAGCCTGTGCATCGGAAACGTATGAGTTTGTGGAAAGCTTGTTTGAAGTCTTCGTTAGACATAGTATAGATGACGGGGTTGATGAGGGAGTTGAGATATCCAAGCCACGTGAAAAAGTCAAAGATGGCCATGTGGAACCAGCAAGCGTCCTTGCAAATAGGCATCACCAAGCTGATGATGAAAAAGGGCAGCCAACACACGATGAAGGCTCCTAAAATAATCCCTAAAGTCTTTGTAGCTTTCCGCTCTCTAGCGGCCGTCAGCTTCTTTTTCTCCAGCAGGGCGTCCGAGACCTTCACCTTCACCTGGTTCATGTACACGGGGGAGCCCGTTTCGCTGGATCCCTCGGGAGCCTTGGAGTTTATGGACGTGACGGAAGAGGTCGACCCCGGGGAGTCTGTAATTAACTGTGCCCGCGTTAGTCTTTTACCTGCTTTCTTTGGCGTCTGCTTCAAAATCCGCGACCTGGCTTCCACGTAGATCCTCCCGTAGAGGGCTATGAGCAGCAGAGTGGGGAAGTAGAAGGCTCCTACTGTGGAGTACACGGTGTACAGGACGTGGTCCGTGTTCACCACACAGTTAGATACTTCCTCGGCCTTCGCCTGCCGCCAAAACAAAGGGGGCATGGAGATGCAGATGGAGAAGATCCATACCAGGGCGATCATGCCCGCTGCCCGTTTGGGAGTCCGTTTCGTGGAGTACTCGACGGCGTCGGTGATCGCCCAGTAGCGGTCCAGGGCGATGACACAGAGGTGCAGGATGGACGCCGTGCAACAGGTGATGTCCGAGGACAGCCAGATATCGCAGACGATCTGACCCAGCGTCCACCTGCCGGTCACAGTGTACATGGTGCTGATGGGCATGACAAGGATGGAGACGAGGAGGTCGGTGACGGCCAGCGAGGCGATCAAATAGTTGGCCGGCGTGTGGAGTTTCCTCGTCTGGTAGACCGTGGCGATGACAAAGGCGTTGGAAAGCACCGTGGCCAGGGTGACCAGCGCCAGGACGACGGCGAGCACGATCTTCCCGGAGAGAGGGGTGGCATCTTGGTAAATCACTTCCTCGGCGCTACAGTTTCGGTAAGAGTCGTTGGCGGAGCCCAATTGCGCCCGGCAGGGGCCGGCCGGCTCCATCCCTCCGCGGCCGCCGCCCCCGCAGACGGCGGGGCTCGGCGCGGCACGGCGGGGCCGCTACCCCGGCAGGACCCCGTCGGCGCCGGGGGAGGGCTGCAGCATCGCCGCGCCAGCACCACCTCCCCGCCCGCCTGCCCGCCCTTCCGGGAGCTCCGAGCGGGCTCCGCGGAGCCTTACTCCCCACGGACGGGGGAGCAGGGCAAACCGGGGGCCAGGCGCGCCCGCTCGCCCCGGCAGCTCATCGCCCCGCCGCCTGCCCGCGGAGCGCGGCGAGCCCCGGACATGGGGCTCCCGCCCCGGCCGCCCCTAAGCGCAGCCCCGCCGCCCGCGGCTCCACTCCGTGTCTCGACGGGCGCGGTGGCAGCGGAGCCGCATGCCCGCGGGCGGCGGCCTCGCCCCCCGGGCTGCGGGCGCGACGGCGGGGGCTGCGGGGGCTGCGCGGGCAGCGGAGCCGCCCCGCCGGGCCGTGCCTTCACACGCAGCCCGCCGCAGCAAGTTTGCAGCCGCCGCCACGGGTGCGGGAGGAGAAAGAGGAGGGTCCGCGGGAGGCAGGGGGAGAGACCACCTCCCATTGCGCCCCGCCGCGGGCCATGCTGTCGAGGCCCGGCCTCCGCCCAGCACCGGCAGCCGCGGGCAGGGGCCGGTGTGAGTGAGCGGCGAGCAGCCGCCGCCCCTTATATAGCGGGCGGCGCGGCTCCGCCGGCACCGAGCAACCGGTGCCGCTCTCGGGCGGGCTGCCCGCCCGCCTGCCCGCGGAGGAGGAGCCGCCGCCGCCTCCCTTGGCCCTCCCTCCGGCACCCACCAGCCGCCCGACGGGGTGGGGGGGAGGTTCGGGCCGCTCCGGCCCCGCGCACCGCCCCACTGCCGGCCCCCCCCTGCCCCTGCAGGCGTCGGGAGGAGCCCGAGCTCGTCCCCCGCCCAGGCGGGGAGCAGCCCCTCCTCTTCCAGCCCGACGAGGGATGCCACGGCACGGGCGGATGCAGGTGCTCCTTGGTCCTGCCGTTGTTCCCACCCTATCTTCCCATCCTATCATCCAATCTTCCCACCGTGCCCGCTACGCCGTGGGGCTGGGCGATGCCAGGCTCCCCAGGGAGCCCGGCGGGGCTACACCCCGGTGTACTGCCCGCCACCACGTCCCTCGGCGGCGTTACAAGCGCCGCTCGGTGCCGGAGCCGGCCGTGCGGGACAGGGGCGCAGCCGGAGCGGGCCGGCACCGCGGGACCGCCCGCCCTGCCCGCCGGGAGAGGGGCTGCGCAGCGCGGCGAGCCCCGCTGCAGCAGAGGTGGATCCCCACCGGATCACATCGCCTGCTTTACACTTCTAGTAATCCCGTATCTTCTGGGCTCAGGCTTTCGTACCCATTTTTCTTCTTCCTTTTATATTTTTTTCCTTTATTTTTCTGGTGCGCTCGGAGGGGCACGCCCGCGGCTGAGCAGCCTTGATGTGCCCCACAGGCTCCTCCATTGCTCGGCAGGCGGGGACAGGAGCAGCGGGAGCACACGTTTGTCCAGGTCCCGCAGCTCCTGCCGGCGTTTGTTCTTAGCAGCCGCAGGAAAGTTTTGCACACAAAGGGAGTGCGAGCTTGCTTTTTGCGGGGTCAGGATAATTCCAAGCTTGATGAAATGCCTGTGCTCCAGCCCGACTAAATCTCCCGAAGATACCACGACAAATTAAGTTAAGAGGAGACAAGCGTTTTCAGTCTGCAAGCATGTTTGTGCACATCTTCACGTGCTGCTACATGCCTAAGTTCCATGTAAACTCTCAGCAGTTCCCTCTTGGACATCTCCTCATGGCTGTTTTCCTCTGTGGTGAAAAATCAGTCAGTTTCCCTGTTGCCCCGTGCTTTCTGGGCTATGCTCAGCACCACACAGGGGCAGGCACTGCAGTGTTCTGCCTGGGACATCGAGCTCATGGGTAGGGTGAGAATCCACTGCGCCCTGCTCTTCAGCAAGAGGGACTGGCTCACCCGAGAGGATGCAGATCAAGGAAGTACCACAAGAGGAGGCTGGAGAGGATCCATTGTGGCCCAGAGGGGCTAGGAAGCTCTAGGAAGAGAAGCATTGAACTGAAGAAGAGCCAGGGCTGCACAACAGTGTAGGAAAGTCAGAGCCCCGCAGGGACAGCCCCTTCCTCCCTGCTTCGGCACAGGAGGAGATGCCCTGATCTTGAGATGTGCTAAGACCCACAGGTCTCCTGAGACCAAAAAAAAAAAAAAAAAAAAAAAAAAAAAAAAAAAAAAAAAAAAAAAAAGTGATGGTGCTTGAGATTTTGTAAAATCTGTTCCACATCTTTAGTTAGACTTTCAAGAAATGAGGTGGGGGAAGACTGGATTAAAGAAAGTGTGGCAGTCAAGGTTTGCCTACGTTCACTGAACTGACAGAAAGATAAAATGTCAATGAGCCCTTCTGTTTTCCCAAAAGTGCATGGGGATAGGGTTTGGTCTGTTTCCATGTTTTTATTTTGTGGTGCCTCCTTGTGTTCAAGCAGGCAGCACCTCCTTTTGGCGCCTGATAATTGGTTGGAAGCTCTAGACTTTACTGCATTAAAAATAATAATATAGAGCTGTCTGCATTCTTCTGATCTCTTTGATAGGCAGAGATTTTATAATCCTGGCTTCTAATACAGTGTGATATTGCTTTCACTTCTGCTCAGCATTTCTGGCTTAATTTAGTTGTGCTTAAGTTGGCAAATGCCCTCAAGCCTGTGTAGCTCAACATTCTTCCCAAATAGGGCTACATATCTGAGAGGAATTTAAATTTAAAACACCAGTAATAACAAGAGGAAAACCTAGCCCTTCATTCAATTTTGGAACAGCTTGCCTCTTGTGCAAAAGCTCTTCTGATAAAATTATAAAATCTCCAAGGGCAATGTTCTAGCCCTAGCCACAGCCATCAGCCATGGTGTGTAGTGTAGACAAGTATTATGTGAATGGGTAATGAGTTCTGGCCACCCAACTAATGTCACTGTTTATTCTCATTCTAAAATATTTGTGTTCTGTGCACAGCTTTTGCTGTTGCCCTTCTCCATTAATTCTGGGTCATTATTCATCAGTAATCATTGTTCATTGCTTCCCTCTTTGTCTTGCCAAGAAGATTATTTTTTTCCTCCCTCATTTGTTTTCTTCCATTGTGCTCGCTGGTTTCTCACTCATTTCTGTAGCACTGCTCCAAGTGGTCAGCAAAATGTTCACCCAGTGTGACAGGTCTGGCTGTGGTGACTGACCTCAGCTCACCTGACTTCCTTTAAGGACCACCTGGTCTTCCTGGGCAGGCTCAGTAAGCATTCCCCATGCTTCTCTCTGAGGCTTCAGCCTTGGGTTATGAAGAGCTGCAGGAAGAAAGTAAAGCCATCTTCCTAGCAGTGGTCCTTGTCATGGTGCTGCATGTCACTGCTGGAGGGGCATGCAGAAAACATGTCCCCACCTAGGCTCTGGAACTGCTGCTTTCCTCAGGCTGTGCATGCTGCTTCCAAGGATTTGTTTCACAACAAGGGGTGCTCAGGTTGTAGAAGACTGCTCTTCCTCTCTGCTCTGCCAGGCTGCACATAGCCCCCTAGCCCCCTGTCACAACTGGACTCCCGAGGGCCAAGGCTTGATGAAAGCACCAGATTCTACCTGGATCATCAATAAGTGCTGGAGTCCTGGAGTGCCAGTGAGACACGTCTTGTGTATCATATGTATTGTCACATGAACGATCATATCTCACTGCTGGGCTGTCGCCCAGGAGCTTGCATTTCATTGTTTATTTTCTCCTCTCCTAACTGGATCTGAAAAGATGCTTATGAGAAGAGATCTTATTTCCTGAAGCTTTTGGCTTCTGTGCAGAGGCAGGCATAAAATTAATTTCTTTCTGCTGGCATAAGACTGTTAATACTTCTTATATCCAGATTCTGATGTACTAAAATACCCAAATATAGAAACTGAATGAAAACTGAGCCTATTATTGGTTTATTGCTTCACAGACTGCCCATGTATGGCGTAAATATCTTATAAATAAATTAGAGAGAGAAGACAGACACATAGAAAGAAACCTAAGTACAGAAAAGAAAAGGTCTCATTGTACAGTCAGATCTGTCCTGGCCACAGATAATGTCGTGTGGGTTTTGGCTCTTGCATCTTAGGTATGTTTGAACATGGGCTCAGTGCACAATATAAACTTCACCTCTGCTCTTGACTCAGCTGCTAAGTTGTGTGTAATGGCATCTGTAGCCTCCTGAACTCTGATGAGATTCATACTCATATTTTAAATAATGAAATTCTGAGTCCTTCTGTTAGCAAAGATAACCTTGGCTGTGTAAATCAACACAGTGGTATTTTGTTGAGTTTGCCAACAGGCAAATAACACTAATGTCTGTGTGAAGTTTCTCAGTGTTAACTTTGAAATACAGCTAAGGCCATTTAAATGCCATCACTTTTAAGTCACTAGTCAAAATAAAATCACCCAGCTTGAGTTACTGAAATTTAATTATATGGAACAGCTGGGCCTAGTTTTGATTTTTACTCTGAGGACCCAGACAAAGAAATAAGCACATGGGCTCAGAAGGCACAAATACACACTGAGTTTCTCAACCCATACTGGTCAGGCACAGTTGCTGAAAAATGCACTCAGATGCCCTCCAAATATTATTCAATTACCCTAAGTAGGCAACTGAGGTCAAGCAAAAACATCCCCTCCAGTCCTCCCTTACAGTGTCTCTAGCAGTTATTATTCATTCATTGCACTGATCCTCACACATTTCAGTTCATGGAGGTAGAAGCTGAAGTTGGTGTCTGTTCCTCATTCATCTACAAGGAATTTGATTTTTAACAATGTTCCTGGAGATGCTCCACAGGAAACCACTTCAATCCTGCCCTGTCTCCTCCTTGCACACTGGCCATAATTCTCCTGCTTTGTCACAATCAGAAGAATTGACTGCTTGTGTGAAAAGAGCTGTGGTATCAGTCTGAGGCTGCTGGAGCCTCTAATTCACACTAAAATCAGTGCAAAAGCCTGTTTTGGTGCCAGAGAATCTGGCTCAATGATCATCCCTCCACTTCAAGCTGTCTCCAGTTATATACCTGAAGGGATTTTAACCTACCTGCTGTACTATGGGCGGAT